TCTGTAAAGATGAGCACAGGCATTTTACTACTCTAATATTCTTAACAACTCAGAACCACATTTTTCTAAGTCTGTAATGAAGAAGATTGCCTGAGAGCAATTTCTCAATCCAGTCCTGTGCACAATGTAGGGTGAGTAGGGTGAGTTGGCAGCGCAAACGCTGCACAATGGAAATCGCATATTATCAGCCCAGCGCAGCCCAGACTCACCAGGACGGCTGACGACATCCCGCACAACAAAGTCAGGTTCATAACTGAGCTTAGCAGGAAGCTCTAAGTTTGATCTGCAGCACCCTTCCCTTTCAACAACAAAGGGGTGGAGGGAAGTTTCTTTTCCACTTCCTGTCCCCTCCCATTTGCCCGGGTTTGCTTCTGACACTGTCTTCTGGCTCTGCCTCTGGGGTTCTTGCCATGTCTTTCTCTTATCTCCTTCTCAGACCAACTCAAGGACAGACTACGAAAGGGAAGCTATGCCCTGATAAGGATGTGCTGACCTGTTATTTTGTCTGGGCCGCCGCACATCCTAATGCAGGCATAGACATTTTAACAGTGTGCTGTCTGGATGTTTTATCTGTTGGACCAAACGCAACTTTCCTAAAGTTTTCTCTTCAAATTGACTTATTACTGGATGTTTACTAGATTGACTAGAACTGGCAAGAGCAGATGTCCTTGCTTTGTTCCATTATCAAGAAAACAAGACAAACTAACCATGTCATTTCTCTCTCAGCTGTGACAAATAGTGACAGTTTTACTGCCATGTGAATATGCTTAATCCCCCACCCCCCACCCTAACAGGGTTTCTCTGTGTAGCCCTGGCTGTCCTCCGTAGACCAGGCTGGTCTCTCACAGAGATCAACCTGCCTCTGCCTCCCCAACAGTGGGATTAAGGGTGTGCACTCTGTACCTGGCTTTTGAAAAGCAACATCTTAATGGCTATTTGGTGCCTTTATCTGACTTAATGTAAAACTACAATGTGTGTGCTTTTAATATAAAGGGCACAGCAGAGCAATTTACCAAAGACTCTACCTCAGAACTACTAGCTGGCCAAGCATTGCTTAAAGTTGAAGGCTAATTACTAATTTTCTTTTCTTTTTTGTGTGTTCTTAAGTTTTGAGAGAGGCAGGCCTGTGGTCCTCCTGCTTCAGCCTCAGATTGCCAGAATTAAAGGGAAGTTTTTCTATACCAACTTTCCTTGGGCAGCCCAGGCTAGGCAGCTTTGGAAACAGAGCTCCATACAGCAATTTACAAAGCCAATTATGAGAGTAAAAAAAAAAAAGAGAGAGCTATTTTGTAAGAAAACATAAATAATATTTAGGGAAATGGTGTTCTGTTAATTTAGTTACTACTGTACCCATAATCATCCTGAGATTTTTAGAAATAAGTACAGTAAAATCTGAAACTGGGGAACCATGGAAACAAGAAGGCAATACTGCAATGTGGGTGAGAGAACAAATACTCAAAGACACACACGGCCTTGGAGTTTTTCCCAAAGCTTTTTTTTTTCTCTTGACCTTAATTAGCAGACCAAAATGGTCTGTGAAATTTTAATTTTAATGTTTACATATGAGGAGCCAAGCAATTAAAACTTGTTTAAACAAGGCTCCGCTTAAACACTTGTGCAAACTTCCAGGGCCTGGGACTGAAGTGCTATGCCAAAATCCTTGCCTTCCTTCCATGGGCTCTAGCGCTTAGTCCCTAGCAGTGAGAAAGAAGGCAAAGGAGTGAGAGAGCAGGGTTAGACACACCCCCTGGTAGGCAGCCGGTTAGGGAGAGAGAGGGGCCTGGCCTAGGTAACAAAGGTGGTGAATTCCCTAGGTGGCCAGCTTCCTCAACCTCTGTCTTAGGGTTTTTCCTATTACTGTGGCCATGAAGCACTTTGCCCAAAAGCAAGCTGGGGAGAAAAGGATTTATATGGCTTAAGCTTCTAAATTATAGTCCATTACTGAAGGAGGTCAGGACAGGAACTCAAGCAGGCAGGAACCTGGAGGCAGGAGCTGATGCAGAGGCGTGAGGGTGCTGCTCACTGGCTTGCTTTCTCATAGAACCCAGGACCGCCAGCCCAGGGATGGAGCAACCACAAAGGCAGGGCCTCCCCATCAATGCCCTACAGACTCACAACAGCCCAGCCCTGTGGAGGCGTCCTCTCAGGGGAGGCTTGCTCCTCTTTGATGGTTCCGGTCTCCTGACTTGAGACAAAAGTCTCCCTGCTGCGCAGAGGGTCTGTCTGCTTTTCTCCAAGCCTGCTTTGTGCCTGTTTCCTCAGCCTCAGCAAAGGCCTTCCTTTAACTGATGATTCCGTGCGCTGAACTGGAGAGGCCTGCGCTTTGTAATTCTTTAGCTGGCAGAGAAAATGAGCCTAATCAAGACCCCCCCCCCCACTGTATCATTTCTAGACTGTATCAGAAAGAAGGAACACGTCTTTACATACATTTGTTAAGAGACATACCTCATCTCAAAACTAACTGAGTTAGTTTACTGAGTTAGCACACCCCAAATAAACTCATTCATAAACTATACTATTTCTGCATTTTCACTTAAAAATCTTAGTATTAAACCAAAATGAACTTTTTCTCTGCCGCAACAGTGCATGTTAACTTCTCCTTATTATAACAAAATACAAGAGACAATTAACTTACGAAGAGAAAAGGTTTGTCTTTGGTTCCAGTGTTGGGCGTTCTAAGACATGGTTGGTCCTGTTGGTTTGAACTTGTGATTAAGCAGCACACCCGGCTGGAATGTGTGTTGGTGCAAAAAGCTGCTGCTTCTTATCTATAGAAATATATCTTTCCAAGTTCACATGTGTTTGTGATTTTGATTCTGCCAGTTCCTGTTTCACTCCATCCTGGCCACAGTGGTGATACTGCACAGACAGCGATGCTTTTCAGTTAGAAATGTGCCCGCTAAGTAGGCTTCTCACCAAAGAACTAGCAAGAAACTAGGACAGGTATATTCAGTAATTCAGTTAGTTTTCGGTCAGAAATACTTCCCATAGAAATTTCTTTTGAATCTAACCCTTGTCAAGAGCTCTTAGGCACTTGAGATATTCATACACACCAACAATTCAAAGCCACAAAGTTCAAAGTTCCTGCCTGTGTTGGAACTTGAGTTCTACATTTTGAAACTCTTTGCTGCTTCTTAAGAAGACAGTTAAATGTCAAAATCCTGAGAATGATTTGTTGAGATTCGCCACATGGGAGCCATACGCTACAAAGTGTTATTTCAAAACCAACTGGGGCAATGGTTTCATCACTCCACCAGGTCCTCTTTCAACAACAGGCGAGGCGGAGATCTCTTTTTATCCGACTCCATCTGCTGTTGGTAGTGATCAGCATGCCGTGGGCACTGCGGTATCAGCTGAGATTAGGTTGTGAAATAGGAAGTGGAGTTACAAGCAGATTTGCAAGTGGATGCGAACTGTTTCCTTCTACCTCTTGCTGAAGCTATGGGTGCCGAATTCAGGTTTGGGAGTAGGCAAGATGGGCTGTCAGCACATTCCTATCAAGGCACAGGCACCTCTTTGCACACTGTCCTTGTTTTGGTTTTGGAAAGAGATCAAAAGGAGATTCTACAGAAAGTAATCCCAGAAGCACACGACATTACTATGTATGGTAAACAGCGGCAGATTCTGTGTATGCTGAAGAGGGCCTGGAACAGGGAACACGTTAGAACCTGGGGAGACCGGAATCATTGTGAAAGCCAAGTGAAAGAGCCAACAGCAAGTGCGAAGATACAGTGTAGTCTTGCGGCTTTAGTTTAAATCCTCATCTTCAGCATCTAAGGGAATTTCTTAGAATATTAGCCCCACCAGATCCAAGCTACAGCTGTTAAAATTTTTCCCAACATTCCAGTGGGATTTGTTTATCACCACTCCACAAACAATTGAGAGCTCGGCTGTGCTAAAGCCGCTAGCCATTGCGGCTTCTTTATAAACGAAGCCCAGAGCTCGAACCCTCTGCGGGCTGTCCCTCCTCACCGCTGTAATTGAAATCTGACCTGGGCAGCATAAAAGGCACAATCAACAAGTGGTTAATGAAGGATTTCTGATTTCTTTTTTTTTTAAGTCAACAGTCTTCACTTGACCGTGGAGGTGCAAAAAAACAAACAAACAAAAAAAAAAAACGGTAGAAGCCAGGCCTCTGAGGATTCTCCTGCCAGCTACTCCCGCCGCATGATCAAACTCTCCCAGCGGGCCACTTCCGGGCGCCACGCTGCCCCATCGCACCGGGCTGACTTTGGACAATGACGCCCGGGTGGCCCGGTGATTGCACACAGCAGGCTGGACGGAATCAAAGTCCTACGTACTGCTGGGCCAGCACCGAGCCAGTCTCAGGCTCCCGCTGGCTCCGCACAGACCTAGGAGCCCGCTCAGAATCCCCGGAGCTCCATTCCCTGCTCTCGGTGGAGCTGCCAGGCTGCGAACCCGGGGCGCCACAGAGCCCAGACGGCCGCGAGCCTGCCGCCGCAGCCCTGTTCTCCATTCCCCCGCATCCGCACCGGCGTTTTCCCAACACTTCCCACTGGATGTTTACAAGGTGTCGACGCCCACTCTGCCGCCGGCTTCCGCGCCCTCCCCGATTCCTCCGCACCGCCCAGCCGGCCCAGCCAACCTCCCTCCACCCCGCCCGACCCGGAGCCCGCGGCCATTTCGCCCCGCGCGCCCTTTGCGGCCCGGGGCCTACCGCCCCGCCCACCCCGACCGTCACGTGACTCTCCCGCCCCTCGCTAGGTGCATTTGCCCCGCCCCTCCTGTCACGTGCTTCACACCGGCCCACCCACAGCACCTGCTCCGCCTCCGCTCGTCACGTGGACCATCCGCCCCGCCCCTCACTGGCGCCTCACCACGCCCTCTCCCGTCACGTGGGCCCCTCGCCCCGCCCTTCCCCGGAGGAACGCTCCGCCTCTCTCATCACGTGGCAGAACACCCCGCCCCCTGCTTAGAGCCCGCCCCGCCCCCGCGCCGGCGCGCTCCGACGTGCCCTGGAACTTACCCTCCCTCGGAGACCAGCCTGCGGGGACGCCGGGCAGCGGCGGCCGCCGAGCGAGCGCTCCTCGGGCGGTCTCTCGGTCGCTCGGCCGCGGCGCCGGGGGAGGACGGGGCTGCCCGTCGCGAGCTCTGAGACCCTCGGTAAGGAGGCCGGGCGCGGGTGCCCGCGGAACGCACAAAGGCGTTCGGGGGCGCGGACTGTGCCCGCCGAGGGCTGCGCCGGGGAGGGCGGCGGCCGCCCGGCCCGCGGGGCGAGCGGCTTCCGAGACCCTGCCCTCGGCCTGGGCTCGCCCGCTTCGGCCGGCGCCCCGCGGGCTCCCGGG